ATCCTGCAAGATATGTGAAGAAACGCGACTTCACAAAACGCGGCTTGATGGCGCGTTTTGATGAGTCGCGTTTTCGGAGCAAAAAAAAAAAAAAATGCACATTCCTTGATTCTCTTTTTTCTTCTTTTCCTTATATATTTTCTTGTACCTTCAGTTTCTTATTGTGTATTTTTTATAGGTACATCACCAAAACAAGGGCTTGAAGTTACGGATCCCCATTTTGTTTTCTTAAGCCTTTGTTATCACTTTTGTTTCTCATTTTCCATTTTTAGGTTTATATCACTAATGGTTACCAAATGGAACTCATGAAGCGATGAAGACAAGCGAACAACGTACCTTGAAGCTTCATATTCAATCACAACAATAGGGGAGTATTATTTTTCTTTATTTTCATTTTCCTTTTTACACATTGAGGACAATGTGCATGTTAAGTGTGGGGGGAGAATTGAGATTTTATATATTGTATGTGATTGACTTATTAGTTGCAAATATTGGACTTGTGTTAAAATTCAAAATTTTTCTACAATCTTGTCCAAAATTGCAAACTTGCCCCAAAAAAAGTTTCAATTTTTTCGATTTTATCCAAAGGGGTAACAAGTTTCATACCATTAGTAGTTCAAATTTCTTCTACATTTGAGATAAATATATGTGATTTGGAAACTTCTTTTCTCATTTAACTTGGAAATGACTATTATGTGATTATAATTTTGCATTTGTAGGAAAATATATCTTGTGAAGTGGAGAAAATTATGCCTATTTTTTTTTTTTTTTTTGCATATTTAATGAAATTTCTTTTTTTTTACTTGATTTTATATAGTTAAGTGATCAATATGGTCAATAGGTGCAATACTCTTCTCATGATTATTCTTTTGAGGAATTTATGTTAAAAAAAAAAAGAGAAAAAAAAAAGAAGAAAAAAAAAGATTTATTCTACTCCAATGATTCTTGTACTTAGTAACCGGGAGTCTTCATCTACAAATGTCGACTTTCGCGTAAAACGGTACTTGAATTAAGAGTATGCAAAGCAACTTGAGTATGTGAAGTGTTGAGTAACCGGTGATCTTCATCTAAAAATGTCGATTCTCGCGTCAAAAGGCATTCTCACATCTTAAGTAATATTTAGCTACGTTATATGAATAAATATCCTTTTAAGTAGAATAAAGAGATGATCATGAGTTTAGGAAGCATTATTATTGACCATATGAATTACTTGCTTGTGAAATTGGGAAAGGATGAGAAATGGAATTAAACTTGTTATAATTATGGTATAATTGGCTCTCCTTTACTTGATATTATGAGTACTTGAACTTAATTGAATAATTGCATAATGGTTATTTACTTTGTTTTGAGGAAATGAAGTTGAAATGCTACATATGCTTATTTTCAAATTTTGGATCATTGTCGGTTTGTATTTCTTATTGCTTGAGGACAAGCAATGGTTCAAGTGTGGGGGTATTTGATAAGAGTATATTTTACGTATTTTTAGTGTGTTTTATTAGTTAATTTTGGTTTGATTATTTAGTTTAATAACTAAAATAACTAAGGTTTTGGTAAAAAACTACATTTTATGTTAAAATGGCTAAACATTGCATTTTATGTATTTTTATGGTAAAAACTTCATATTTTGTAGGTTTAATGATTCAATCATCAAATGAAGTGCATTGAGAAGATATTTGGATGATTGAAGATGGATTAAAGTGGTGAAAATAAAATATGAAGTGTAAAAAGGAAAAATGCAATTTGAATCAAGAAAAGTCAGGTTTTGACAACTCTGACACGTTTTGGTATTTTGACTATATATGGAGCTACACTGATCGGATCAAGGTGATCTTGGTACCATTTTGAAGCTAAGAGATATATCTACATTTGGTATGAAGACATCAAAGTCCAATTCAGCCGTTTTCATAGTCCAAAAGTTGAAATACCGAAATTCAACTCAGCTGTCCAAAGTGGAAAACAGAGTTCTGACCAGTCTTTAGTATTTTGGTCATATCTCAGGCTAAAAAGCTCCGATCTGGATGATTTTTAGAGCATTGGAAAGCTAACTCAAAGAGCTACAACTTTGATGTTTTTCACAAAAGCCAGTTCAGCCTTTATGATAGAGAAAATTGCAGTTGAAGTAAGGACAAAGTGAATACGCGAGTACACAAAACGTGACTTGTAACCGCGTTTTGTGTAGGCGCGTTTTCTGGCCGCAATTCTGCAATTTGCTCAGTCAATTCTCTTGTGCTCTGACTACTTTCCATCTATAAGTTGCAAGAGAATTCGGTGCACATGCTTTAGAAGACAAAAGGGCAAGAAAGTTGGCATATTTTCAAGTCAAAAACAATGGCTATTGACTATCTTAACAATTTCAGATTTGGAAAACAAATGCAGCAAATTTGGACCAATGGAAAAGGAGCTTTTGGAGCAGTTTATATAGGGAGCAACCAGGACATGGTCTAGAAAAAAGGGGAAATATACGGGAGAAGCTTGGAGTCTGCAAAAATGTAGCTTTTCCATTCTCTTAGTGTTAGTTTAGCTTAGTATAGAGTAAGATAGTTCATCCATTCTTGTTATTAGCTAGATAAAGAAGAAGATGGAGGATGAAGAAGGCAAGGAAGAAAGCTCATGTGACAAGGGTTATTCCTTCCAACTCTTTATCTTTTGTATTTGATTCCAAGTTTAGCTAATATACAAGTTCTGGATTTTGTGTTTAATATGTGTCTTTAAAGTTTATACCTTGGGTTTGGTTGAACTTTCTATGATTGTTAGTGTTAATCATTTGGCTATTTAACTGCTATGTTTTGAGCAAGTTATTTAGCACTTTAGCTCTTTAAATCATGATTAATCCGGTACCATTAATTCTGATTATCTAAGGTGTTATTTCTGCAATGAAAATTGAGATTTAACACTTAGTTCAAGAAGTGCTAAACATAGGGAGTACACTCACGAAAGTAGAGGTGCACCTATGTGGTTTTTAGTGATTTATTTCATGTAATTTCACTGAAGAAATGAACTTGTAGCTAATTTCATAACCATGAGAATAGGTATGGATTAGTTATAAGTATAATTGATTCACTACGAAAGTAGGATTCAAATGCATAAGGAAATTACACCATAATTAGCCTAGATGTAGTATTCAATGATCCAAATATAACACTTGCATGAGTAGTTAGGGATACCACAACCTAAGGAGCTTTTATTTGTTAATTTCTTGTATAAGTGCAGTAGGTTAAATTTCTTATCATTAATTGATAGTCTAAATAATAAAGAAACTTTAGTAATACCGGTAATTGTTCACTCTTCCCTGTGGGATCGACCCGATATATACCCTAAACTACTAGTTGATCTGTATACTTGCAGTGAACGGGTGTAATTCGGTATTTTTTAGCTTGCACGTATGTAAAATACCCGTCAATAGCTTAAGTGATATTTGTTTAACTAAGTTCATGTCCGCATCTCACGTGTACCTCCAAAGGAAGAGAATTTCAATTGCACTCTCGAAACTAGCAATGCCCAATTTGCACCCAACTAGACAGTTAAATATCTTTGTCAATGAGATTTAACTTTCTGCCAAAGGTGAAATCCATTCCGGTTCAATAGAAAAAAGTTCTACATTCTTTAAGGATTTTGTGCTAATTCCAAGGAACGGCTTGGGTAGTGGTGCGGCAGTCCATGGCTGCCATCTGCCCACCTGATGGAGGGCAGCCTGCCCCTCCTACCTTTCAATGCAAATCCTTTTCAGAGTTGTTCACGAAGAATTCACAGCAGCCGACGCTATCCTTTGCGGCACAGGAGGCTACACACAAAGGGGAACCTGCGTTGATTTTCCCACAGGCAGCGGTCGAAGCTCTAGCCAGTCCATTTCGTTTCGCATTGATTGGGAAATTCTCTAGACGTAGACCGAAGTTGGAGGAGGTGAGGAAGTTCATTGCATCGCTGGATTTACGTGAGAACCCGGTGGTGGGCTTGTTGGACGTAAGACATGTGTTAATTCAGTTGAACAATGAAGCTGATTTCCATCGTGTATGGTTTAGGAGGATCTGGTATGTGTCTTCCTTCCCCATGAGAGTATTCAAATGGACCACGGACTTCCATGTTGACAGGGAGTCGTCGGTGGTTCCGCTCTGGCTTCAATTACCAAAACTCCCGCTGCACTTTTTCAATAAGGAGGTGATTTTCCAGATTGCGTCTATGGTAGGTAACCCTTTGCTAGTTGATGCGGCTACCCTTGCAGTGTCACGGCCAAGTGTTGCACGGGTGTGTGTTGAGATGGATTTGTTGCGTTCGACACCGTCGCGGGTTTGGATTGGCAATGGAAATCATGCTGGTTTTTGGCAAGAGCTGGTGGTGGAGAACCTTCCAAGGTACTGCTCACATTGTTTCCGCCAAGGTCACGATGTGGAGACTTGTCATGTTTTAAAGCCCGAGTTGCGAGGAGCATCTGGTCACCATACCAAGACTACTGGAACAACACAACTACGGTTGGCAGAGACGTCGAATACAGACATGCCTGATGGCCCTTTGGAGGGTAATGGAGAAAGGCCATCGGTATTGATACAAGATGCGGCAGTAATTGATGGGGCAAAGGGAGAAGTTAATGAGACTGTGACTGGCAAAGCGCTAGTTGCTCACGATCAGTTAATAGGTGGTACGCCTCACGAAGCTGAGCAAGGTGACCAGGTGCAGCAGTCCTGTGCTACTATACCAGCGCAGCAGGAGAGGAAAATGGAGGAGGATTATGGGACGGTGGCGGTAGAAGGTATCGAGGTGGTGCTGCCACATGACAAAGAAGAGGAACGTTCTGAAGATGTGGGGAGTGGGTTGCCCGCGAGGGTGGTCGTACGTTCTGCTGAGGGGCAAGTTGAAGACATACAAGATACTCAACGAAGGGTCGGTACCCTCTCCCCTAGGGGCAAGGATCTTATCCGACAAGAAGAGTCATCACTAGAGACCGGGCATATAGACACGGGGGGGTACCCTGGAACTAGAAGAAGTTGTTCGTAAGGAGCGAATGGATGCAAGGTCGCGTGGTCTCCGGGTTGGTCTCCCGTCAGATAGAACACTACGCTCCATGGTTAGTTCTTCAACAAATTCTTTTTCTGTCCTTTCTGATGATTAAGTTACTTTTTTGGAATATAAGAGGGGTAGCTCGTGCTCCTAATTTAAGGCGGTTAAGGAAACTTATTAAATTGTATGATCTTCAATTGGTGGTTGTTGTTGAACCTAAGTTGAGGGTGGAGTCAATTACTGATATTAGAATTAAATTGGGGATGGATTGTTGCATGTTCAATCATTGGGGTTCTGTTTGGATTTTCTACCGGTCATTGTTTACGTGTCAGATTACAGGGGAGTCTCCCCAACATATAACTATTAGAGTACAATCTCATCTTTTCCAAGACTCCATTATTTTGTCTTGTATACACGCGAAGTGTACGCAGCAGGACAGAGAGGATTTGTGGAATGCACTTTTGCAGGATAAACCCGCCTTCAATCCTTGGTTTTTGGTGGGGGATTTCAATGTGGTCACAAATACAGAGGAGAAGAGGGGTGGATTGCCATTTAGACCGTCGGAGGGATCAGACTTTCTGAATTTTATGGCGCTAGCTGGTGTCAGTGATGCGGGATTCTCTGGGTCAAGGTTTACATGGTGTAATAATCGTTCGGGAACGGCGCGGATCTGGAAGCGTCTGGATCGCTTACTTCTGTGTGGGAGTGCAATGGAGCTACCGTACCAATTCATGGTGCAACATTTAGGCCGTGACCCGTCGGATCATGCTCCCTTGTTGCTATCGGTGGATACGAGGCTAGACAATAAACCCAAGCCGTTTCGTTTCTTAAACATCTGGACCACTCATCCTGATTTTCTGGGGGTTATCAAGGACTGTTGGGTTCATCCAGTCAATGGCTCTCCTTTGCAAGTATTGGCATCGAAGTTGAGGAATGTTAAAAATGCCCTCAAGCAGTGGTCTAGGACGACATTTGGGGGATATTTTTGAAGGGGTACGTAGTGCAGAGCGTGTGGTAACCGAGTCTGAGACAGCATACGACCTCGATCCTACTGAGCAGCGACGGAGCGAGTTACATCATGCTCGGGCTCGATTGCGCCGAGCGCTTGTAGTTGAGGAGGGTTTTTGGAGACAAAAGGCGCGGGTTAAGTGGCTTTCGGACGGAGATAGGAACACCAAATATTTCCACTCCTTGGTTACGGAAAGGAGACGTAGGGCAGTAATTCATCGAGTCAGGGGTACTGCTGGAGAGTGGATCGAGGGGGAATGCCAAATTGGGGAGGCAGCGGTGGGTTTCTTTAAGGATCTTTTCACGGCAGAGGGGGATCTTCCCTCCCTTACCGGTCTGGAGATCATACCTAAACTGATAACAGACCAGGAAAACTCACGGTTAACGGACATTCCATCTCTTACAGAAGTTAAAGACATAGTCTTTGCTATGGATGGAGAGAGCGCAGCCGGCCCGGACGGGTTTACAGGGAAATTCTTTACCTTTGCTTGGGAGGTAGTGGCATCGGATTTATACCGGGCGGTTGTCAGCTTTTTCTGCGGTGCTGAACTACCTAGGAGTATCACGGCTACCTCAATTGTGTTGCTGCCAAAAGTGGAGAACCCCCAAGATTTTAAGCATTTTCGTCCAATCAGTCTGTGCAACTTTACTAACAAAATCATCTCCAAGCTGTTATCGGCAAGGTTGGCGATGATATTACCCCGGATTATATCTCCACAGCAAAGCGGGTTTGTCCAAGGGAGGCAGATTACAGATAATTTCTTGTTAGCTCAGGAGTTAGTAGCCGATATCGGGAAATCAAATCGGGGTGGCAATGTGGTCATCAAGTTAGACATGATGAAGGCTTATGATAAAGTCTCATGGCCCTTTCTCCTACAGGTGCTACGATATTTCGGATTCAGTGAGACCTGGATAGACATGATTTGGCGCTTAATATCGAATGTGTGGTTCTCGGTACTTGTTAATGGTGGTTCAAACGGCTTTTTCAGATCTTCACGGGGTTTACGGCAAGGGGATCCAATTTCACCAGCCTTATTCGTTATCGGAGCTGAGGTGCTGTCTAGAACCCTCAACACGCTACCCACACAAAGAGGATTTACTCCGTTCAAAGTTCCTCCTCATTGTTCTATAATTACGCATTTGGCATTCGCCGATGACGTGATTATCTTTTCCAGTGGGGCCAAGTCATCCCTACGTCTGATTAAACGGGTTTTGGATGATTATAATGAGGCATCAGGTCAGCGAATCAACCCTCAGAAGAGTTGTTTCCTTACTCATCCACGGGCACCATCTCAGAGGGCAGCGGTTGTTAACCAGATACTAGGGTATAATAAACGCGACTTTCCAATACGGTACCTTGGTTGTCCCTTGTATACCGGAAGGAGCAAGAAGGTTTACTATACGGATATATACAATGCGGTGGCGAATCGGATTTTGAGTTGGAAAAACCAGATATTATCGCTAGGAGGCAGGGTGGTGTTGATTCAGAGCGTGTTATCCTCTATGCCAATTCACTTGCTGGCAGCCGCGTCCCCTCCAAAAGGGATGTTGATGGTCATAGAGAAATTGTTCGCCAAGTTCTTGTGGGGATCTTCGAATTTCGGGGATAAATTCCATTGGATACGTTGGGCAGATTTGTGTCGGCCGAAGGATGAAGGGGGTGTAGGCCTGCGGGGTTTGAAACAGGTCTACGACTCATTTTCCATTAAACTCTGGTGGAAATTTCGACAACAACAATCATTATGGGCAAAGTTTATGTCCCAGAAGTATTGTGCAGGTCATCACCCTTGTCTTGCTGATATTGGGCATCCGGGATCCCAAGTTTGGCAGAGGATGGTTACAATGCAGCGTTTTGGGGAGGATAATATTAGCTGGGTAGTTCGGGAGGGGGCTTTGGACTTTTGGCATGATAATTGGATGGGGTCAGGTGCGCTTTGTGACAAGGTTGAGGTCTTCCATGATCATTCGGTGGTTGATTTTGTAGATCGGCGGGCTTGGAATGTGGACATGCTCCATCAATTCTTGGATGGAGAATTGGTTACGCAGGTTTTGGAGATTGACCCTCCTACCGATAGGGGAAATGATACAATGGTATGGGCATTGACGAACTCGGGTGTTTTTTCCACTGCATCGGCTTACTCATTGATCCGTCAATCCAATGACAATTCTTGGCTTTTTGGTCGTATATGGCAGCAGGGTCTTCCAGTCAAGGTTTCTTTCTTTATGCTGCGACTACTACAGGGGAGGCTCCCTCTTATGGATCGCCTAAAGAGGTTTGGGGTTTGTGGCCCATCTAGATGCTTGTGTTGTCAGAATCCCCAGGAGGAGGATTTGAATCATGTGTTTTGCTCAGGAGAAGGGGCACGATTGGTCTGGCGACACTTCGAGAGTACTGCTGGTGAGTTTAGTGGGGTGCATACGGTGCGTCATATGGTGTGGTCTTGTTGGTTAAGGAGGGGGACTAATGATCGTGTAAAGTTTTTGCATAATATACTTCCTTCGGTGGTATGCTGGGTTTTATGGAAGGCTAGGAATGAAGGGGTGTTTGAAGGTCGGAAGATGAGGATCAGGCCTACGGTGAATCGGATTGTTCAGTTTCTGCATGATTTCCTTCAGTCACGGTTCCCGGGGGTGCAGCCTTCTGCCCCTACATGGGAAGGGTTGCTTCTCGAATTAGGTAGTCATCAAAGGCGGATGGTTATTAGGCCAGTTTACTGGGTAACTCCACGTAGAGGCTATAAGTTGAATTCAGATGGATGTTCTCGGGGGAACCCAGGAAGGAGTGGGGGGGGTGGGCTTGTGCGGGATAGTCGAGGAAATTTTGTATTCGGCTACGCGGAGCCCTTCGGGGTGATAACCAGCATGCAGGCGGAACTTCGAGCGTTGCTATGGGGCGTTAGACATTGTGTGATTCGAGGGTGCTTGGAGTTACACTTAGAGGCGGATTCTCTCACCCTGGTTCACATTGTTCAAGGGACTAGTGCTTGTCCTTGGCGTTTACAGAGAGATCTGGATGAGTTGATGATGTTCAAGCAATATTTCACATCGATCACACACTGCTACAGGGAAGCAAACGCACCTGCAGATCATTTGGCAAATTTTGGTGCTGATTCTAGTGCAGGTCATGTGTTTAATACATTCTCAGAATTGCCGCAATTGGTTAGGGGGGCTATTAGATTAGATCGATTAGGATTTCCTACGTTTCGTACACGGTGTCTGGCATGAATTGGAATAAGAAGCAGAAAAGGCCAATGAAGGTGAAAATGGCGGTTAGAAGGACATCAAGGGAGGAAGATTGACTGCTAAAATCTTCAAAGATCATCCTTCAGATTCACTGGAAGACATCCTGATATGGAAAAATGAAGATTTAATCTTAATTTCAGTTTTTAAATGCTTAAACTTTCACTAGCTTGTAAATTTATTGTCAAATTGTGGTTTGATGGCAGGGAGTTTCGTCCTTTTTTAAGGGGAAACTCTGCCGAAATTTTTATAAAATAATAAAATAAATAAAAAAAAAATAAGAACATAGCAAAAAAAAAAAAAAAAAAGATATTTGTTTAACTAAGCACTGGTAAAGTTGGAAATCATATGTAACAATGTTGCTTTGAACTAGGTTCTCACCCTATAGGTGTGGAAAGTATGTTTTCTATGTTTCTTGTTTCATGGGTCTTGAATTAAGTAATTTGGGATTGTTTACAGGTGGGGAGGACGTACTACGAAGATTACTTCAGTTAAGCTGGCTATTGGTTTGTTTGGCTAAAATAAGTGGTTTTGATACTCGCTACATTTCCAACTCAAAATTTTTGAATGAAAATGATTTCAACTGCTTATGTTAATATGAAATCTAATATGGGTAAGAATACATTTATTGCTTTTGATATACAAAAAATTATGATAAAGATGAATATGATTTGCTTTTGAATTATGAATGCAATGTATATTTTGCACTATAAACTCGCGGTTTCTTGGTTAGTGTCTTTGAATCTAGTTCCACCACTTTTATCTGTCCGGCCTACCTAGCAGGATAAATAGTTGGAAACCTTTTGTTTGGCCTACCTAGCGGGACAATTACTTAGGAACTTTCTATCGATCTGGCCTATCGAGTGGGACAAATAGTTAAAAAACCTTTGTCTGACCTATCTGACGAGATAAATAGTCAGGACTGGATATCTAGTTATTGATAGAGATTTTTTTTTTTTTGTAACCGGGAGGGCTCGAATCCGAGGTCTCTTGCTTACACTCCTTCCCCCGTACCATCCAACCCAACCCTTCCCCTAGTTATTGATAGAGATTAAAGCTTCATGAGTTTATTGTGATAAATTGTTAATTATTGAATTGGTATAATTATGTACTCTTCTGATAGATGTGTTTTAAAATTTATTGTGATATTAACTTGCTCATGCCGGCAGAGAAGTACCTGAGCTACTTATTGCATTGGACAACTTATTTGCTCACTGCATTTGTTAATATTTTCAGAGGAGGATGCATTTTATGAAGAGGCATTTGATCAAGTTTGAGGACTTCTAGAAAAGACTAAAGACTTGTTTAGATCAACCTTACTTCGGTTGTTTTTTAGGTTAACTTTCGTATATAAAATTAGATTATGACAATGAATGACTGTATTTTGTATAAGAGGTTAAATTTGGAAATGATTTTGGTTATTACCAATCACTTACAAATATAAATGATGGGAAGATTTAGAAATTAATATATACAAAATTTTAGTTATTTTGATTTTAATTCTATATAGGACGGCATTATGCCCCGATTTTGGAGTGTGACATGACATCCATCACCGCCCATATGCAATTCTGGTTGTAAGTCGTAGTTTTTACTAGCATTTCAAGTATTAAAAATTAGTTAATTGTGCCTGGACAACAATACATCGTGTGATTCTCTGTCCATCAGGGAAAACTGTCGAGTCAAAAAGTTTCGTGAGCATGGCTCCATGTCTTCACTAACAACTTATAACCAAAGCACTATTACGGTTCACTGCAAAATCCAGCCGCCAATGTAGTGTGTTTTAGAGGCACGGTGCTCTCTGGTGTCAGACCCCTACTTCATCAAGAGAAGAAAAAACAAAAAAAGAAAAAGAAAGATCACGGCATACATGATCCAAAAAAGCTCTTCGTTACTCAGATTACTCTTCTTACCGTAACCTTCACTGTCTACACCAAGAGCGACAATGGTCCCTTCCCTGAAAGAGCTGATTTTTTCTGCTGAACCGAGACAAGTTGTGCCAATATGGTCAATTCCTGTAATGGTTGGTTTTAGTTGTAAATCATAGGACATAATAAGTTTTTTCATAAACTCTGTAACTTAGAGCTTGTTAAAGTACCAAATTTCTCTCCATCTCCGGTTCCAAGAAATAGTTTTAAACTTTTAGTTAGTATGATTTTCGTTGTTGACAAGGTTTTTACTTCACCAAATCTGAAAAAAAAAAAAAAAAGCTAAACACCCTGTTTTTTATAAGTATACAAATCTTTTATCGAGCATTTGGAGATATTAGGTGTTGATTCCAAAGAAATGATTGTTAACTATTAGTGGCATTTGAACTTCTTTATTATTTAGACTATCACAAGTAAAGCAAGGAAATATATACCACTAACTTGTAACAAAAGTAATAAAAATGATAAAATTATGGTTCTTGGCATTACGAAATTCCGAACCACACTTGCAAGTGAAAATTATTGGTCAATTAAGTTTATTATCTAGCAATTGCCTGGATGGTGAAATTCTGTGGGTCCCCTCCTTAGGTTGAGTGAGACTCTCTTTGGTGTGCCCTGAGTGTAGTTTAGCTTTTCCCCTATAAATGTCTATTGTTGAAAAAAATTAAGTTTATTATCTTGACTAGTTATAACATAATTTTCAAATACATGTAATACACGTTTTTGTCGATATATCAACCATATCTATAACTACTTAACACCTATTACTATGATATGAAATTAGTTATAGATTCATTAAATTCCATAAAATTACATGCAACAAACAATTAAAGCCGCAAAGGTATAACCCTACATTAGTGAGTTAATTTTCTGGGTTGAACACTTCCATGAACTAGTATTGAATCACAATAATTATTGATGAAACAACACCTCTAGATAATCACAACTACAGCCAATTAATCATAATTGTAATAACAAAAGTGCTAAATAACGTGTTCAAGAAATAAATACAATCAAGAAAATAAACTCAAATAACCATGAAAACTTCACTTAACAATCATCGAAGTTGATCCACTCCCTTGGCTTACAAACAACCAAAATATAGAAGTTAAGAAAACAAGAACCAAACATGTATTATAACTAATGTTTTGAAACTCTGACCATTAATTAAATTGGTGAAGTGACCAAATCGAGGTTCAACCAATCGGACTGGTTCAACCTCGATTCTATATATATAGACACACACACACAGACTAGTGCATATAATAAGATATCCCATGGACCAATTTAAGACATCACCTAAAAAAAGTTAAATATTTTTTAAACACTAATTAATTTTTAAAATTGTAAATTCAAACCATATTCTGAAATTAAACAAAATGCATTGGAACTTCTGAAATTAAACAAAATCTAATAGAACTACAAAAGAAAATGGTGATCTTTGAGTTTGAAGATGAGAAATAGAGAGAGTTTGGTTACTCTTTTAGAAATTAGGGTTGGGAACAAAAGATTTGACAGATAAGTTTTATGTTTAAAAATTTGGGTTCATTAAAAAAAAAAGATGGGAAAAATGGCAAATTGTGGCTCACGAGTCAATCCGGGTTGAACGGTCCAATCAATTTTTTTTAGTTTTGACAGATTTTTATGATAAGTCAACACTAGTAGTGAATCGAATCGCTGACTTGGCCAGTTCTGCCTGATTTTCAAAACATTCATTATAACTAAGCATGAGAATCAATACAAGAAATAAAGTAATAGAAAAAAGCCACCTATGTCATCGAATTCCAAACTCTCTATTTTTATTCTCAACTTCATCTATGTCTAACTACATACAAGGATTGGATGAAACTAACTGTACTAAATTATACTATACTAATGAACTAGGAAATTTTAGTAAAACACCACATTTTGTATAGTTTATCTAGACTCCAAAGTTAAGCAAAAACGTTTCTTGAATGACCTATTTATAGAAGAATCAAGGTCCAAAACAACTTGCTGAAGTTTATGCAAATTACTTCTTGAAATGACCATAAGTTGATTCTACAAGTCTCAATGTTTTCTTAGGCAGTTTCCACCAAAATTTGATTAGAAAAATGGTCCAAAAAGATTGTGTGAACAAGATTTTGACATAATGTCTCAATTCATGTGCAACTTTGCTCGCTTTTTTTGGAACCCAATTTACATCAATATCATTAAAATCAGACAAAACTATGGGCAAATTGTCAATAATTGGTCCAATATCATAGAAAACATCATCTTCAGACTTAATAGGTTGAATGACTGATAATACATCTCCTTCGAGGACAAAACTTGGAATGAGCAGGTTATTTGCAAAGATTAAATTTTCCTTTGCTGCAATAGCTTCTGTCACGTTAGATTCTACAATTCCATGGAATTGTTTTGACAACTCAGCCATAAAACAGCCTGTATGATCACGAATTACTATCCCAATATCATAAACTTGCTTCGCTCTGGAGATTGCACCGTCGAAGTTGACCTTATACTGGTTTGAAGGTGGTGCTGACCAGCGTATTGTTGATGATTGCTCGAACATTTGTGAACCATGAGTATTGGCATCTTTAAATGCAGCAAGATAGTTGGACGAGAAATAAACTATTGATAGCGTATCATGTCTTTTCCGAAATCAAACAGAGTGCAATTTCTATTGCTCCAAATCTCATGACACAGAACAGCAAAAAAAACCAGAGTCCGCAGCAGGCAAAATTCTAATAATTTCCTTGATCCAAAGAGTGACACTACTATGATGACATTATTGATCTTCCTCTAGCAAGTGCCCAGATTTGTGTGCATATTGAACAAAGGAAAAATGTGTGGAGGAGATTGCCATCTGTGTCATTGCACAACGGATAGGTCAGATCAACAAGCAACCCTAATCTTTGAAGATTATCTGTTGTTGGTGGAGAATCATGGCAAGCTTTCCATAAAAAATGCT